AGTAACAATGATGACGCATTACGTCTATGGCCGTAACCATAGTACATATGTAAAAAATTTGCAGGGATTTTGTGTTTTATCATACCTTGAGCTAATCTTCGCATATCCCTAAAACTATGTTGTACTTATGAGTCGTATTATCCTTATGATAATATGCTTGTGGATCATGGAATTGTATCAGATATGAAATGCAGATGAAGCATATGATGTTCAAAAGAAAATGATTTCTAAAATGAGAAAATTAAATTTACGAATGAAATGACTTGATTTCCATGAATGGAAACACATGAGACGATTCTTCCGTGTCTGTAATTGATCCTTGTGGGTAAAGGGATTTTTTTAACCAGATTTTGTGTCAGTTGCGTGTTTGTGACAGAAGAGCCTCAGGAATTTAACGCTGCGGAAGACCACGAAGCGATTTTGAAGTGATAATTCAAAGGCAATTGAAGCCGTAGGCTCTGTCTGTAGTAACAATAAAATTTGTAATCAGTTAAGAGTCGGTTTCGCAAGAAATTAATACTGATACGAATCGACACTCACTGCCAGCAAGCAGATTCGCATGCTCTAATAAATAGAAGACCGGTCAGTTTTGGTCTACTCACGATAAACATTCCATCGTTAAGATGATGACCAGACTTGATAGCGTTGGTAGTGTCGGTACATCTGCATGTATTCGCACAATATAATACTTTTAAGATGGTCTTAACGGTACCTGTACAATGCTTTGACGTGACGTGTAAACTTGTAGAGACAGTAGTACCCGCCCATGGTTGAAATTCGACAACTGCGTCATTTTATTTTACCTAATTAAAGAAAGATGGCAATGGAATCTGGGCCGCCCGTGTGGCAGGTGGGCATTCTATCACTGAACTATCAATAGTTTGGGAAAAAAACACTATCGGGTGTTTCATTCCCACCAGCCACTAATCCTGGTGGGTGGGTAGTCCGTCCGGACTACGCCTAAAAGTAGGGCGGAAGGCCCTCTTCAGCTCCCTTTCAGGAATCGTGGGAATAGGTGGGTGGTGGTTCGGGTGAGGAACTTGAAACGGATGAAATGAAGACAGAAGAGAATGAAAGATTATCTGTGGATTAATACTACCCCAGCATTTGCCTAACTGATCCAAGGAAACCACAGAAAAACAAGGACCAGATAGACGGACCCGGAATCGAACGGGCGTCCTCCCGAATGCTAAGCAGTGGTCTAAACCCCTAGGCCATGCCACTCGTTAATGGTTCTACAGTTTAATTAAAAACATCCCCTTAGTCGTGAAATGTTCTTTTTTCTCTTTTCTCGCAAAAATTTCATTTAAATTGAAGGAATGGCGATCAGGCCGTTAAGCAAATAAAAAAATTAAGCAAAATTTATAGAAAAACTTGCTACGAAATTCTTTTTGAATAGGCAAGGTTTATCTCTAAAATTTTCAATAACATCACACCAAAACTACTTTTTGTAACCTTACTGATTGTTATTAGTAATAATTTATTGAAATTCAAGCAATTTACATAGTTCTCGTGGTTTTCCTTTTTTATTGAATATCTGAATATTATATAAAGGTCGAAAAGTATCTGATGCCGTAGCGGTGTCCAATGCCAAATTCACAATAAAAACTTGGCAGAATCCAAGTATGACCTTCCGTGAATCTCAGGTAGGCAAAGGTGGTTTTCGTACAGCTGGATAATAGAAAAAGGTCACGTTTCTAGTCATCATCTTATACTGTGACTATGACATTCTTTCCGAGAGGGGAGTGGTAATAGCATTCTTGATTTTCGAAACAGTAAAATGGGACATTTGTAAGAATTTCAAGGTAACAAATGCCTGTAAGTGTTTCTATACATACATGTATTAATACAGACATATAAATACCTCCAGTGAACCTCGCTTTCAACGTTTATAATCTGTACGAATGCATATTCAAACTGTACGTGTGGTCTTCCACCTTAATAAAATAACGGGTAATACCCACAATAATCTGAGACTAACGAAATTGAAGTTTTCAGGTCAATAATGCGAGCGTCTAATAAGAAATCTTTGTGCCAGATCAGGCGAATAAAGAGGATGCTTTAAATTACTTAATTTCTACTTCTTTTCTTCTCTTAGATATTATTGTAAAAAGTCAAATTGTGGACTTAAAGACTTGTCCTATCGCAAGTAGATGTGCTTTATTTCAGTTTGATTTATAATATATATATAGATACTGATTTCAGACTACTGAGAAGATTATCTAGTTTAAAGCAAAAGTTCATTCATAGATATTCTTTTTTAATAAATATTGTTTTTTTTATACCTAGATTTTCTTATGTTAATTACTTTAGAAAGTCGTAGTGTTACTTATGGGAAATAATACGAATTGCTAACGAGTGGTTAGAAACGAAAAGGTTTTTACACATAATTAAAAACTATTAAGCCTAAAACCAATAGCTACAATTATCGATAGATAATAATAGGCGGTGGAGGTCTCTCACAAAATTCGATTTACCTTATAACAACAAGGTTACAACTTTCCTATTTTGTATGTATCATGTTAAATTTAAAGAATTTATAAAAGTTTTCTAGTAATTAACAAAATTTTATTGAAAATTTACAGCCGACGTATATGAACAGTGGTAATACACTTTAATTCATTAATTTGTCTTGTATTTATCTATGTGTACAATAAATTATTCCATCACGGTATATGAATAAGAAATGTTCTCTCTCTATAACACTTGTTCGGTTATGGATAAACGTACTTACAGCAAAATATGGAGTGCTAATTATTTTATATTCGTTATTACTACAATTTTAATGAGTATTTTAATCTTTAGATGAAAGCAGTAAACAGAGATCTGTTTGTTTATATTTGTATGGAAGGAGAAAGATCATAAATGGGTCTATGTATCTGTTAAATACTGAAGTTTATAAAAACGTGTTGCGTAGGTAATTTTCTGCGATATTACCATCATCAAGGGTCGTAAGTCCTAAGAGTGGCTGGACACGCACCTCCACTCCTTTCCTTTCCTCAGATAAAATTAGAACACCCCATATCCTCCAACTATTTGTGAACAGTAATCTAATTTAATCTAGGTCTGTTTCTACTTTTCTTAACCCTTGTTTCTGCTTTTAATATGTCTAATCAAAGTTTGTTGGTTACCAAATAAAAATCATCATCATAACGTCGTCAGTCCTAAGACTGGGTGGATCCACTCTTTCTTATCCTGAGGGAATCTTCCTACTACTCCTTCCATCCTAACTTATCTGGTTATCCTTTAGTCTCATTAAGAGCGACAGAAAATTCGTTGCTATGATGTTATATTATTTTAAGATAATCGTTAATGAGTTTAATTACCTGGTCGACATTTTAAGTAAGCTGATCAGTTTTATGAAGATATTTAGATGAAGTTAGGCCACTATGGAATGTCTATAGAGATGCTGTTACAAATTTTTTTAAAATTGAAAACTGGTATTTATTTGAGGGTATTTGTTATTAACAATAATATTAACGGTACTTTCTCGTTGCGTAAAGTATGGTGTAGGATTTAGTGTTACAGCAACTTGTGATTTGACCTTTGGTCTTGTGTAACAGCAATTGGCAGTCACCTCTCACCATGTTTGTTTGTTTTAAGCCAATAATAAAAGTAAAAAATTAATTGATGAATGAAATTAGATTAGATTATTGTTCACAAAGTGTTAAGGATGTGGGATGTTTCAGTTTAAGGGTAATACGAAGATTAGCTCAGGATAAGAAAGAGTGGAGGTGCATGTCCAATGGTCCAACTAGGACTGACGATGATATATATGTAAAACAGTTGATATTCAAAGCAAAATTAACTATTAATGGTAGAAATAATAGACGAATTTGTCATTGAAATTAGACAGTAAAATACTAAACTATTATGAGAAATATTGCTTCTCAATATACATAGCGATTTTATCAGTTCCATTCTAATCTAAACAATGGAGGAATGCATACAGACATGTTAAAATTCCATTTGACATATGATTGTCTTAATTATGTTCGTTTAGATACAATAATCGATTAATTCGCTTTTAGTCATTAAAAACTGTCGAAAGCTGTGGAGACACCAACAAAAAATCGAGTAAAAATACCATAAATAAGTAATTATCAAGTAGATAAAACTATTTAAATTGATAAAAAATGATTCTATAATTAGTTATTTTTAACTTAAATACATTTTAAAACACGTAATAAGCCGCAGAATTAAAATTGATTTGGAGATATCGATGGTAGATCAGGCGACGAACCCGGCATTAGCTTATATAAATTGCTATAGAATAATTTGATAAACTACATTTACACAAGAGGTTGACATTGGACCAGGTGATTAACACGATAACTGTAAAATGTATGTCGGAGACTTCAACGAGAGGTCAAGAGACAAACTCAATAAATATTCGAGAATGTCGAAACTCATTACATTAAATCAAAATATGTTTTAAGGTGGACTAATAAATTTTTATAACCGCTTTCGAAATATTGTATTGCTTGATATTTCCGGGTCTAATGTATGATGAAATTGTCTATATCTTTATTATTACTATGTTGGTACTCTTGAAATAATATTTGCAGGACATTGAAGAGAAAGGAAATTGATAGAAAATTAAATATTAGTTGCAATTACTTATAATAAAACACAAGAGTAGGTTGTAGCCTAATTAAGAGCCTGTGGAAGGCTCGGTTTTGGCTGTAGTACCTATTAAGAGTAAAATTAAACTAAATCTTTGAATAGTCAGGTACTCCAGCCTAAAACTTAGTGTCTCGGTAAATAGTTATGTGTCCAAATTCAGGTCGCAGTTGTTATTGAATACCATAAGGTTCTTTCGGTAACCCATTTAGTAATATTTGGTTACTTTTTTATTCCAACAAATTTCAATGGGAGATAAACGTCTTCTGACGTTCAGTTTGGAGTCTTAATATATACAATTTAGTTGTAGAATCATCATTTCTTAGAGTAGATCTTGACGATTGATTCTATCTGTAATTTCCTGTTTCTTGGCTTACCGTTTTTCTTACGTTTTCCTGTTATTATTAATCCTGACACATGCGAAAGCTGCTGCTAGTATTAACTCCTCGAAGCGATACTCTGAAGGACCTTTCTAACGGACGTGCACTTAACACCAGCAGAAGAATAAATACGCGAAAACACTCGCGGTCGAATAAATTTTTTATTAGGTACTAATTCTACAACTACTACTAGTGTTGGTAATAAAAGTTTGAACAACATCCACTACAAACAACAACTGCTTATGCTGGTCGTGCACTTCTTAGGCGCGGCCTTCGACTCGAGACTGTGGTAAATTCCTTCGTCCATGTCCAAGAACCAACTTACTGAGGACTTACAAGGTGGGAGAAACGAGTTTGTATACCTATTGCAATAGCCAGTGTATACGTATACAGGGCGATCCGTTATGATACACGATTGGAATGAACGTATTCGATATGACTTCGTTCCCAATTAACTGACCTCATATTGTCTTTAATAAATCATTCCGCTGGTTGTTTCGTTAGAACCTCTAAATTAAAATGGAAAATGTACGGTAGAAGATTGGAGATTTCAACGCGACGTCAAGCGGGAAACCCGGGGACTGATACATAGAAAAGTGGAAAAGATGTACTAAAAAAGATGATTATTTGAAAGAACCCAGGATGTTTTGTTAGAGCCTGTAAATTAAGGGTAAAATGAACAAAAAAGGATGGAGACTTCAACGGGACGTGATGTGGGAAACCCAGCGACACATTGATAAAACTGGAACAGAAGTATTAAAGAATATCATCTATAATATCATCCCTTAAAAGAACGCAAACTGTTTTGTTATAAGCTGTAAATTAAAGCGAAATAAGTACAAACACGTGTGGAGACTTCAACGGGACGTCAAGCAGGAAAACTCTTCGACTGATTGATAAAAGTGGAACAGAAGTATTAAAGAATGTCATCTATAATATCATCCCTTGAAAGAACGCAAACTGTTGTGTTATAAGCTGTAAATTAAAGCGAAATAAGTACAAACACGTGTGGAGACTTCAACGGGACGTCAAGCGGGAAAACCCAGCGACTGATTGATAGAAGTGGAAGAGAAGTATTAAAGAATATCATCTATAATATCATCCCTTGAATGAACGCAAACTGTTGTGTTATAAGCTGTAAATTAAAGCGAAATAAGTACAAACACGTGTGGAGACTTCAACGGGACGTCAAGCAGGAAAACCCAGCGACTGATTGATAAAAGTGGAAAAGAAGTACTAAAAAATATCTTCGATAATAGCATCCCTTAAAAAAACACAAACTGTTTTTTTATAAGCTGTAAATTAAAGCGAAATAAGTACAAATACGTGTGGAGACTTCAACAGGACGTGAAGCGCGAAACCCAGCGAGTGGTTAATAAACGTAAAACAGATGGACTAAAAAATATCTACAATACGACTTCATCGCTTAAAAATATGCCAAATTTGTTGTAATTTCTAAATTAAAACGGAATAAGGTCAGCTTCAGGTTTAAAGTTTAAGGACTTCAACGGGATGACTAGCGACAAAAAATCCACCGCCTGTTGGTCAAAATAAACTAGAAACTATTAACAAATGTCTTAAAATCATTTCATTTCTCAAAATTACACTGGTTATTTTGTAGGAATTTTTAAATCAAAACGGAAAAAATACTAGTACAAAATTGGAGACTTCAGTGGGACGTCAAGCGACAAACCCATCGACCAATATATACAAACAGAACAGAACTGCTAACAAATATCTTCAAAATAATCTCATCCCTTAAAAGAATATTAAATTAAAGGGAATAATCAGAAGCATGTGTGGAGACTTCAACGGGATACTAAGCGAGAAACCCAGTAGATATATTAAAAATAACAATAAAATAACTTCATCTATTGAAATTGTGCTAGTTTTGTTTGAATTTATAAATTAAAACAGGCTGGACTCAGGTAGAAGTTTAGAGACTTCAACGGGAAGTCAAGCGAGAGACCCAACGCTTGGTGATCATAGCATTGAGTGTATTGTACACTTCCTTACCTAAGCGAAAGGTAACAATACACAAAGGGTAAAGTTTGTATAGAAAATATTCCAAAAAGGACGTAACAGGTAGTAGTAATTCATCTACAGGAACGTTTTCCAAGAAGTAAATTTTATTTGGGTACAATAATGTGTGAATAATATTCCCAACGTTTGTAACTAATAAAATATAAACTTTTTTATACACATAAGTAAAATTTTGCCTGCTATTTGATTTGAGACAACTGCATTTTACATTGTTTTTAAAGTTTACTAATAATCGTTAGTGTTATCCAATTCGGAACCTGTTAATTAGTTCTAAAAGTAAAATTTTAAGTACTATTTAATGACATTTCACGGCGATATACGTTTGACACTTTTACTTATAATAATAGGTAGTTAGCAGGTTACAACATAATACCCTCTATCTCTATTATTTTCTGTTTTCTAATGTTAGATAATTATAAATTTAATAAAAAAATGTTCGGATTCCAATTCTCTGACTGTTATAGCCAATTTCATAGGAATTATTATCACATAAAAAGTGAGAAATGTCCTTTATGCTGGTCTTTTTTGGAAAATATTTTGTTATCCAACTAGTACGATGTTTACACAATGCACAAATGTAACAATTTCTTATATTAAACAACTTTGCTTTAGAATAAACTGCTTTTGGAGATGGAGACATTGATGGGAAGTTAAGCGACAAACCCGATATTTCGGAATGTAAAATATTTGTTTGATAAATGGCGTATTTTGAGATACAAAGGGTTTGTTTATCTCCCTATGTAGATACTTAGCTTTAATTCAGTAAATGTATAGTTTACAGATACTAATTAGAGAATAAGCGATGAGTGCATGAAAATTTGAATGTTGTTTTAATGTTGAAAAACTTTGGTTATGTTAAATTGTATTTATAATTGAGACTATGGATTTTTCGAAATTAACCATAAAATTAGTTTTTCGTAATCATTAGATTTTTATTATTCATATCACTAACAGAATAATATATGAGCAACAATTATTATACTATTGATTTTTTAAGCCGGTACACCCGTGAAGTTTCGATTCCTATTTTGGACGTGCCCGTTGTGGCAAAGTATAGATGGATATCGAGGAAATAAAATTAAGGTTACTTAAATGTACTTCCGTTGTTCGCTTGTGTATAACGGGACCTTAATTCCAAAGTTCGTTACTGTTCAAATGTGTTTACCATGTACCTGGATAGGTTCACATTTTTGTACATACGATTACGATTGGTAACTAACAATAAGCAACGGAAAAAAGAAGTGTGTAATTTATCCAGTCGTATATAACAGATTTTGGATTTAAACATGGTTGTGGTGACCTAATTTTGGTGTCACTATAGCTTCAGTGTGTGCCACCACCATCGCACACCATAAAATGCACCTTCTCTCGTGCGAATGGCATTCATTCCTGGAATTTAAATTCGTCGACGCTAATCCTTATTTAGACCTGCCCATGTACCTACCATTTAACCTTTCTCATGGCGATTGTAAAAATACTTGGAAGCCTTAAAATCAAAATTCTGAACAAAAATGTATTATCTACTTATAATAATAATCAGAAAAAATTCTTTATTAGGTATGTACTGCCTGCGTTATAATTGATGGTTTTCCCATAATTTACGAAGTATCTGTATCAAATATGGAATATACTCTTCGAAGTAATGACCTTTTTACCGAAACTATGTTGTTTCTGTGGAATTTACACAAATGACTTTTATTGTCTCTTATTTGTCAAGACATACCAGAAACAAAAACAGGAACAGTAAGAACATTGTTCGTAAATATTTAAGAATTTGGGATGTATTGGTTTTTGGAAAATGAAAATTGGCGTAGGATAGAGTATAGGTGCGTGTCCAATAAGTCTTAAGACTGATGACCCTATGTAGATGATAATGACCTATTATTTGATCAGTAATTTCAACCGATTACTTACCCGAAAAGAAAATAAGTAGGGCTCGGGTCCAAATTACCCTATTATGACTCAAAAAGGAAAATTTGATGGGACACACTTCGATTCGTATCGGGTTACCTTACAGAGCTTTGATAGGGATACCCTGAACAGGTTAATCTATAAGGGACAGATTTAGATGTTGAAGGGTTCTGGCTAGAGAAACCTACATATAAGAGGTAGATCGGGGTTCCTTATTTAATACTGACCAGACTGACTTGATGTGTGATACAGGATTTATAATAGGTTTTCGATCTACGATTTATAATTTGACTTAAACTGATTTTGTTCGAAAACAACTTAAGTTGACTGGTTTTTCTTCGGGATTACATGATGCATTATTACTCTTTTAAGAACTAAGGCCATCGTCATAATAAAATAACTTGATACATGTACCTAATATTTTGTCGGGTTAGGACTGGAATCAATTAGGATTTCCATCTCTGTTTACAATACGGCCGTCAAGTCAGGACCGGATAGCGATAAGAAAAAAGGAATACCATAATAGGGTTACGATATAAGGCAACCAAGTCAAGACCTTACGAATAAGAGAATAAGGATTTTCGTAATAGGTAATCCGTTTTGCTGCCTGACAGGGAATTTCGTAATATCGAATTCCCTACTATAGCCTCATCCGGTCCGAACGTCAGTTTTCATTTTCATACAATAAGTCAGCTTCTGAGCAATTTTCCGGCCTTCCTCATTTTCAAGTACTTTTTTAGCGTTATGGCACGCGATTGGTGAAGATGACATTAAAAACCTCTTAAGTAATAGAACGGCATCCTGAGCCTTTTTACATTAATTTGCAGTAGCATGTTGTTGAAGAACGTGTCTTTCGTATATATATATATGTACGTATATGTATTACGTATATATTATACATATACAGATGTATAAAACGTATACAGGGACATCGACCCGCACCAGGAACCGTTTGTCACAATAATTACTCACTTGTATGTCGTACCTGTTTACACGCATAAGCAAACGGCAAAGGTATTATCATCAGCCACTTGGGATTACAAATAATAATATGGTGTGGAGAGCACCACGGGTAATCCTGTGCGTACCCTACGGGATGTCTCATTACTTATATCTGTGATGCAGTGCGTATGATGATGATGATGATGATCTCCAATGGCTTGATATATGGACTCATGTTGGTTTTTAATGTTATTGTCTAAGGAAACATGTTAGGGTTCTTGCAACTTGTTATATAAAAGTTTAATCAATGAAATTAGACTTAATTGAAGCAGATCAATTACATAATGTACATGTATTTGGAATTGGACAAGACATTATTAGTGTTAAAATAATCCGAAGTGGTCAGTATTCTGTCGAAACTGCCAGACGCGGATCGCGATTTCGATCTTTTTGGATCTCATCAGCGCGTCAGACCACTTCGAATTATTTTATTCGATTAAGCTAACGTGCCTATCACGTTGAGGTTGGCTACGCCAGGATTCGTTTTCAGCAAGTAGATATCCACACAAGTGGACCTTGTTGAAAAATACGTAATCCTAAAATGTAGCATCGTGCTACAGATGGCGCTCACTGTGCCGTTTGTAGTATTTTCTGAAACGCATTATTAGTAATATTCTACCCTATTAATCCATCTTCTGGAAAATTGGAATGAGGAAGGATTCTAGGGTGTAATTTGGGTAAATTAGGGAAGCACGTGGTCAAGGAAAGTACGGGAATTACCTATAAATACGATTTCAGGGAAATTCTCTGTACGTTCTGTCACGCAGTGAAGTTTTAAGGAAAATCAAAAACCATTTTAAACTTTAAAACATATTTTAAAACTAATGAAATATTTCATAATTATAACGTTGCAATTTAACAGAGTACATAAAAATAAACCACAATTACTATAATTCGCGCAACAAGGAAAAAACAAAGAATTCCAATTACTATTTTATTTTAAATAAGGCAAAGATGACTATACTAATATTACGATAATGTCTCGGAAAAAAACAAAAGACATTTTCCTTTGTCTGCAGTTGCAACACTGTATAATTTTTTAGAATTTTATCTAAAGTAAAGCCTGAAATATTACAGTACGTTTTTGGTTTTCATATTAATAAGAAAAAGTGTAACTAAATCTCGTTTCTCAACAAATCCGTTGGAGATACCGACGGGATGTCAAGCGACGAACCCAGTTATTACAACTTTTGAAAACGCTAAATAGTATTGGTAATTTATCTTCGAATTAACGGATTTGACGATTAAAAACTGGAAAATAAAAAACCTACACTCAGCAAATTTAATTTGGAAGTAAATGATGGACCACAGAGAATTTAGGAAATTAGAAAGGCCAAGTTGAATAATCAGATACGAAGTAATTATGAGTTAATAATGTTTAATTTGCATTTAAGAAGAAAAAGCGTTCAATTCAATTTTACCGGTTTTATTGAGTAATAAAATTAGATTTCGGTTTAGTGTTTGTGTTATTGAAAATTTGTTAAATAAAACAAGAGTAGTGATAATTAAAATAATTACTCTATTTAGTTAATTTTCGAAATTTGAACAACTTATATGTAATTGATAACAGTCTGATTTTTCAGTTAACTTCACGTAAGGTTCAGTCCCATACCTATATTTTAGCGTAAAATTCCTATTTATTTCCACAATATGAAACGAATCAAAAACAGGATAAGGTGCGGTATTATTTCCAAACATTATCCGCTTTCCGCTTTCTCCATGAAATCCTAACTTGCTGCAAACGTCTTCTAATTGCATAGTTGTCATCTTTTCGGGGTAGCATCCAGGATGTATTACACCCGCTGTCTGCCACATTACTTCCCCAGTATGCGGACTATAAGGAATTTAATTTAATTTAAATATCGAACAGACATTGGTAGAAGTTTTTATGATTTGTTGTAATTTCAAAAATTGAAATTTACCTTTCATTTTCCGATTTTAAGAATATGCAGTGTTTTTCGTCATCCCCACTATCGGGACAGTCTTCTTTCCCATCACAAACCATTTCATGTGGAATACAAAAATTGTAACTAGAAAACGTTTAAAATTTAAAAATCAACTCGTATTACAAGGACCGCCAGTTAATTATAAGTATGTAATGGTAAATGTAATTAATGCATTCAGTAATGTAAGCAATCGAAGTAATTTAGTTAGTGATCGTCTTTATTATTTAATTATGCAGCAGTTGTGGTTTATTAGCTAGATAAACAACACAAGTATGTGGTACATTATGCAAAAGTTTCTTTAAGTGCGAAAGATTTGTTAGACGCATGGAACACGCCATAGTTGAAAATCGGATAATTCGTTACTTATCTTGTGATTATACTTTTAACTTCAGTGAACATATGGTTGAAACTTCTTGGCATAATTAATAAGAGATAATATGATAATTAGGTGCGTTCATCTATTGAATTTTGATAAAGTGAGTCACAGAATGTACGTGATAATCTAATTGAATATGCCGCTTATAAATTACGCTTTTGGAATCATTCTAACATTCTAGTTTTATGTTTTATAATTATATTGCTAAAAACCCGAGATAAAAAATCTCTCAGAGTCTCTGAAAGCGAGCCCAGGAGTCTCCGTCTCTCATCGAGTCTGTCTGGTGTCGCTGAGAGAAACTGTCAAAAAAATTGTTTAGCGTCTCTGAACGAGAGACTCGAGTCGCTCATAGAAAGATCCTCATTTCACATCCTGTCTAGAGACTAAAATCTCTGAACGAGAGACTCGAATCTCTCAATAAGTAGTGCCTCGATAGACATGGTTAAAATTTTCTAATTTTAACATATTTCAGAAATCCCAGTCTTTCTACGAGAGACTCGAGTCTCTCTGTTTTTCAGTTTTATTCATTCAGTCTCTCTGTGAGAGACTCGAATCTCTGAATTAACAATTTTATCGTTCGAGTCTCTCATACAAAGACTGTGAGAGATCCATAAAAACACCATGGCAATAACTGATAGACTGTGAAAAAATGTGAGGGACGCTCTCAGAGACGCTGAAAGACTCTGAGAGACTGGAGAGAGACTGAAAATTTTTGTCTAGGGAAGAACTCTAAATCGTGTCTTAGAATTATGTACATCATCATCATCATCATCTACATAAAAGGACTAAATACATAAACAATTTGATTCTTTTCCCCTAATAAGTTTATCAATATTTATTTATTGTTTGGTTGTTCTCAGCGATAAACAAAATCTATTACCTATTGTTTATCTAAAATTCAATTCTAGCAAGGAACATTGAATATTAACTGCAGGTATTTTATTTACACGAAAAAAGTGTGTGATAGCGATCTTATTTAAATTTGAGACGGCATTTCAGTCTTACTTTCCGCATATAAAGCTGTCGTTCTTGCAAAGGCATAAACTAGCATCTTCGTCGGTCTTGTCCTGGCAGTTTAGAATTCCATCGCAAACTTTCTCTGGGTGCGACAATTCCAAGTAATTCCTACATGTACAGTTCTCCGGTTCATCCGACATGTCTCCGCAATCGTTGATGCCGTTGCAGAAAGCACTTTTTGGCACGCATTTTTTGTTTTTACACCTTAATTCATCATAGTAACATTCTAAAATCGTTTGTGATCAGTAAAGGAACTAAGGAAATACTTTATCCTGTTCCTTGATTAATTTCTTTTTGTTTATGAAATATTAATGTGAAAATTCATTTTCAATTTTCCAGTTTAGTGAGGGAAAATTGCTGTTGTCACATCCCTGGCGGGTAGTTTGTAGTGGTTGGAAAATTGAAAATGAATTTTCACATTAATATTTCATGTTAACCACTATTAATAATTAAAACAGTATTTTTCTTGTTTTGGAAAATTAAATTCTAGGAATACATAATTTCTTTTAAAAAAAAGCTCATTTATGAAGATATTTGTGATTTCCTAGGATTTAAAGATTTTCTGCGGAAAATTTACAAACTTACGCAGTAACTGTAAAGCTAAGGAAAACTGCTTTTAATCATTCAATTTTAAGAACAATTAGAGTTCTGTTATTGTGAATATTATCTAAATAGTAAATGTAAGTTTTCTTCTTAAGAAAATTAAACGAAAGAGACCTAGAAAGCTCGATTGTTTTCCCTGTAAGCGAACTGTATATTGAAACCATGAAAGCACAGCGAACTTACGGCAGTTTCCCCATAGGTGGCACGACCCATTCCGATTAAAGCACAACTCTGGGTCTTCGTCTTCACCTCTTTTACAGTCTGGGACCCCATTACAAATGTGGTTTGTGTTAAGACATTTTCCCAGTGAACAACGGTATTGACATGAACTTGGTGCAAAGACACTGTCTGTTTCTTTTTTATCTGTGACTGTAGAAAGCTGAATTTTATTAAAACTTAATCGCGCTTAGATAAATGATACAAACTCTAGTAAAAGTATTTTATTATCTCACCAAGCATGTTTTTTATTTCGTTTTCCAACACTGATAATGTATTGGAAACTGGAACATTCTGTAAATTGCATATGTCAGTAGAAGATGGAATCACTGTTAAGGGATACCATCCCTTAGATGATTCACAAGCGATATATCCATTTGAAGAGCCCTGTTATTATTAGAGATGTTTTAGAAATTTTAAAATCATACCAACAAATTCAGTCACCTGATGACAATCTTCTTGAAATGTTGTGTATGGTTCGAAGTGTCTTTTGCCTGCTGTAAAGTTCATGACGCTTTTCATTGGTAAATATGTAGGTTTTCCTGTTTTATCATAAGAAAATGCAATACATAGTTCTTTGCTTTCTGGTATTACCCTAAAAATTTATCACACCATTGGAAAATTATTTAATCCAAAATGGTTTGATATTCACTTACCTAGACTGGATAAATAGTGGTCTTACGTTCAAAGATGAATCAACCGGTTCTTGTAAATGAAGCAAAGTGATACTGATACTTTCCAAATTTTTTATGGTGTCGATTGTCCTTGTCACCTCCGAAGGTCCTTGAACATGATAATAATACCGTCCAAATCCAAGAAGTGCTACCAAATGGTGCCTCCTCAAACTAAAAACAATTTCTTATAGCAACGGTAAGAGTTTTGTAGTTTGGTATTTGCCTAAAGTTTTTTCCTAAGCAATCAGAAGATGTGACGATCCAATCGTGATCTATTAGAATCCCGATACATGTAAGTTGCCCGTCAACAAATATGAGAGCATCCCATGGAAAGGTTTTCTTAACAAGTAACTCCGTTGATAAACTTGATTCCTTCAAAAACGGTTTACTGGTTAATTCGTCGGTGCATTGCAGATAAATTCCCTCGCATGTGTTATTCCCTCTTGTCAATATTGACTTTGAATAATTGATAGCTTCGTCATTGAAAGTTCTTTCGAGTATTTTCTTTGGTGTTACCACCTTCGAAAAATGAATGTAGTCACTGTAACCCAAATAGAGACATGTCTTTGCCGCGATGTCTGCTTCGTGCCCATGCCACTTCCAGCACATTGGTTTCCAAAGTTCTTTATAATTGTATGAAATTATCCCCGAACTTTTTGGGCGTGGATTTTCAGCAGCGTCTACCCAAACTTGTTGCCCATCGGTTAATGCAACTAAAAGAATAATACAGGAAGATTACTTGAATAATATACTTACAATTTTGTCATACAGCATCCTTCTTCATCTTCATTATCAGCACAATCTGCAACATTATTGCATCTTTGAACCAATGGGATGCACTTTTCAGTTCTTTTACAGTAGTATTCGTTTTCGAGACAAAAAGCTGTAGAGAAACTGGTAAATGAGTTTGTTTGGGGATAATTTTTGTTGGTATATACTTACAGCAATGTTTTTCGTCAGTTAAATCTTTGCAATCGTAGATTCCATCGCAAATAGCATCCGGTTGTTTCGTCTGTAAGAATGTACCACAGGAGCATCCTTCTTCATCAGAGCCATCTTCGCAATCCGCTTTTCGGTCACAAACTTGCGACCAGCTTACAAACTGCAGAATTCTAAAATATGATTAGAAGCAATTTCTTTTTTTTTGAAGAATTAGAACAGTAGAAAAACGAATATAGAAATTGAGTCAAGCCATTCATTGGAAGATAATCTTCAAGAATTTTAAAAATCATGGCATCGTATCCTTTCAAACAAATCCTCATGTACTTACCTTACAATACTAATTTTATTTACATACCTACGTACCTTTTGCACCAAAATCTATTTCCGTTATTCCCGTTGCTTCCCGGCCTTCTAAATTCCTTTCGAGCGCTGAAATTGCTTTCCTCTGTTATAGCGGCAATATTCGAATCTCCTGTTGCACTTCTAGACTGTTCGGAATTCGATATCGGAGGTATGTTTGCAAATTGAACTTCGCTGCTGTTCGAAAAATCAAAATCGTTCGTAAAACTTTTCTCTGCATTGGTCGTTTCATTTATCGCATCGTGATTAAGAACGATAGGAATATTCGAAGAATTGTGCCAGTTTTCCATGCCATCAACATGGGTAATTTCCTCGAAAATTGTTGTTTTCAAAGTGGAAGTGTTTTCGGAAAAGTTTTCGGGCCCTGATGATGAATTGGTCGACTGCAAAAAGTTACGCTTCTATAATAATCATCGAGTACTAATAGACCGAGTAAAAAGCACCTTGTCGCCAGAGAAATTCTTCAGTTTGCCATTGGTATGATCGTTACTTTCCATGGCATGTCTGAATATGTCAGAAAAACGACTGGTTTCACAATCGAACTCGTCGTCTGCATTGATGCAGTCTACTGTCCTATCGCATACCCGTTTATGGGGGATGCATCTTCTTGATTTTTTACATACGTAACCAGGACATTTGTGAAGAGGTCTTTTCTTGAAAACGTGATCGTGTTCTGTATCAAAATTGGACATTCAATCAACAATACAAATAACAAAATCAAAGGGCGTCTAGATAATGAAAATTCCAAATCCTTTGAGACATACTCACTTATATTTTCTGCTATCCAGTCTAAATATAAACTGACCCTGGTATAAACACCAGGTTCGTTTGGTCTGGCGCAACCTTCTCCATGACTTACAATACCAGCCAAGTACCATTGGTGTCTCAAATTTGGATTTCTGCACATAAACGGTCCACCACTGTCTCCCTGACAAGCATCTTTACCACCTTCTGCGAGCCCAGCACATATTTCACGACCCTCTTCGTCTTCTTTGTGTTTGCACCGTGGCAAAACGGGAACTTCGACTTCCCTCATGTGATCAGCTAAAAGAGGTATCATTTTGGAATTGAGAATTTTGACGTTAGACTTATTTATACATACGGTCTGAGCCATGTTCAACGGTCGCTCCCCAACCCACAGCTGTGCAGATGGTACCAGGCGATGGTCCCCGTAGGTAATTAGAACCAGCAGTAATTTCAGTTGGAAGGCAGATTGGTCTAACGTACCGATTGAATTTAAATGGGTCGGATACTTTCATTAGGGCTAAATCATTCTTTAAACTTGCTTTGTCGTAAAGTTGATGGGATACAATAGCGGAAACGGTTCTGATTTGTTCCATCGGAGTAAATGAAAACCTTCGCAATACCCCAGCCTGGACTTGATAATAAAAACGAGTAAACCTAATAAGTGGAAATGATCATGAGATAAATCCATAAAGAGAGATTAAGGATTTTGAAACTTGGAGAAAGTTACTAATTAATTCCTCCATTGAGGAGTTTGAGTATTGGTAGAGTACTTACGAATCTACACAGTGTGCTGCTGATACAATCCATTGATCGGTCAGCAAAACACCACCGCAATGGAAGACCCCATTTCGATATACAGATACCATCCACGGCCATGCCGCTGGTTGACTTGCTTTGCCACCAACAACTCTACTGGATCCAACCATCTCATCAGTGGTAGTGTTCTGTTGGAAGAATTGTTGAGGACGTTGAGACAGCAGGTCGTCTTCAATGCTAGTGTCTAATTCGTTAAAACGGAAGAGATTTCGTGTTAGTATGCGAGTTCCACAAACGAGACTTGGACAAGTTACGAATGCCATACGACCTGGCGAACATGAAGAGACAATCTCTACTCCATTTGACAAAGCATTCGCGTATTTTCCTCTGTAATGTTCTGTTGGTGCGACCATGGTTGTTATGGGGACCCTACAATTGAACCACTTTGTATATACAAGAAGGAAAATAGCAGATTGTGGTAATCAAATATTATTGGTGGTGAGTCTAAATTCCCAATTCAAAAAACGGCCACATACCCCACACACCCCATTCCAGATATCACAATAGATTAGATGGAAAGAAGAATTATTGATATTAAAACAGACAAGTTAGTGATCTGCGGTCGCATTTTGGGCCAAGAATAATAAACTTAAAAAATGTGAGCGAAATACGTTGTGGTAGATATCTCGGTTATGATAAGTCAGAATTGATCCGTGTGTGTAGTACTAGTTCATTCATATAAAATTGAAAAGAAAAGTTAATCTTTCATGTGATTGTTGTTGTTTATGAAACCCATAAATTCAATCATGGGAAATGTCGTAGCAATCGAAGTACATAAATTTATTTGAAATGTTATTGTGATTAGTTTTTGTGAACACTCTTGGTTCTTTAATTGATTCCCTTTTGATTGCTAAATATAAGACGACTACCGCTAAAAACAATGACTTTCGAAATATTAATACCGTAATTGATTCACTGATACTAACAATTTGAAATAAATAAAGTCACACCGGTTAATAACCACTTGAGTACCGAAGTGAATCAATAATGGAAACTGAGATTGAAAACCAATTCTCCGTTGTGATGGACGAGGTATCACAAAATGCCCTATTATTTAAGTAAATAAGTAATTTCACACTTTTAATGTCAAAATTATTGCCATTCCATATTCCTTTGTTAATTCGCCTTTTATTAGTCCGTGAAATAACATAAGGAAGAAAACCAATAATGTGTACATTATTTTAACAACAAAGTGAAGTGCACCTAGTCATTTTGCTGTACCTACATGACTTCATTGCATTGTACTTACACAATATCCGGACCTGTTATGACTTTACAAGCTTCCAAAGCCCATTTTTCCGCATTCGAGCAAGCGGAGTACCATTTTCCTTTATAGTTCCTGAAGAGATATCCACTTGAAACCGAAACTTTTACTTGCTGAAAGAATATTAATATTGCTTTTCCTACATATACATATTAATTTTGAATGTAATACTCACCGAATCTTCATTAATTGTTTCGGTTATTATAGAGCAGCCTTCTTCATCTTTTGCCGATGGGCATTGTGCAATTCCATCACATCTTTGATGTAGTGATATACATGTTGATACTTTGTCGTCTTCCGTCCAATCATTACAATTGAATTCGTTCGCAGCGCATTCTCAAAGGAAAAAAATTGTTCAATAACAAACCTATTAAGTGACTCAAAGGTGTTAAATAATTACCGAAACAACCAATTTCATCTTCACCGTTCGGACAATCGAAGTAACCATCACAAATTCTGACTGCTGAAATCCGTTCCTTACACGAACAGTCCATTTCATCACTAGCATCCCAGCAATTCACATCGTTGTTACAAATTTGATGCTCCTTGATACACTTGGACCCGTCTTCACACGACCATTGACCAAATGGACATTCAATGCTTGCCCTTGACCTGTTACTGTATTGTATAACAAATAATTATAATTTTCTATCATAGTAGTGGATGTGTGAGTGCATACTTACTTGTTATTTTCTCTTACTAACCATCCCTTGGGCTGAGGAGAATTGTTATCGTGATCCCTTTTGATTTCTACTCCGCTCATTTCGGCTAAATTGGTTGATGGTGGAGGGATTGGTTTACATGTATAATATTGTCCACTCTCAGCTGCATTGGGATGAACCCCTAAGGCGTTCTGCATTCCATAATAAACGTTAAATCCGTTGGTTATCTGTTGACTAATTGCTGGATAATGATCAGACGATGGATATGGAAAGGGTTGAAGGTAACTGCCGGCAGGATTCCTTGGTATGCTTATAGGAACAAGCGGCGAATATGGATATGGAGAGTATGGAACCACATTGGGTGGAGGGTAGATCGGTGCAGCTGGTGTATTCGGTTTTGTTAGAAAACATTGAACGTTCGACATTTGTTGGAAATTTTTTAGTTCTTCAGCAGTCGCTGTAAAACCAGTTGAAATTTTACTAGACGGAGAAAATGTTAATCTGGATTTTGATGATGGTTCTAAATTATCAACTTCCTTCAAGAAGTCATCAGGCCTTTCAGGTTCATGATTTGTAGGCAACCTGGTTTCTCCAATGTGTACACCTCCATCGAATGGTGTTTTAATAGTTTCTGAATTGTGTTGTACAGACCCTTGTATATTTTCCCGATTCGGCGATTTAAATTGCATTTGTTGTTCTGTATTGGATTTGTCAATAGAAGTTTTGGAGTTTCTTTGTGGTATATTGCTGTTTGGCGATTCACCATTTTTTTCAGTATTGCATGCATCAAATATTGGTGGACGTTGGACAATAATAGTTCCATCATCATCGCTTCTTCTGTTGGCCTCATTTTGAAAGCTTGACTTGAAGTTAGTTAAGAATTTACTGCGTTCATTTTGCAAAGGTTTGTCTAAAACAGGAGAAGTCTCTTTGTTTTCTGTATGGTCCAATACCCTTACAGGATGATTTAATCCTGAATTTTCTTCATCTTCCACCGTGTGCTTATTTTTAGTGTTCAGTGGAAACTGTCTATGGAAACCGGAATCAAATTGATCTCGGTATTCTTTATTAAAATTTGGTTTGTTCTCACTAAAAGGTGAGAAAGGTCGAGGAATATTAAAGTCTTCGTGGAATATTTGAAGGGGAATGGCCGGATTTTTGGCACTGTGTTGATCAGTTTTGACGTTTCTGGTAACAAATGCAACGTCTGGACTGTTTACAGGAATATGATGATGTTCATGATTACGTAGCCGATCATGTCTTTCAGGATGAATGGGTCTGACATCATGTGGGATATCGTCTTGTTTATGTCTTAAAAAGTGTACAGGATTCGATCCTTTAGAGCTAGATATGGGATCATTCATGTTTTTGACAAAATCACCACGACCATCGGGCGGCCCCACGGGATGTTTTTGTTCCATTGTGAAATCGTGGTGGTGTGATAATGGATTTATTTCGATAGGTTCGTTCGTTTGAAACGGTAGTGGTGATTGCTCAAACAACTGCTGGTTGTTTACTCCCTCTTGATCGGGAAGTCTCTTGGGAAATTGGAATTTTGGTGGTCTATCTTCTAAAATTGTTCTTCTCCTTGTTTCAAATGGTGGTCTATCAAAATACTGAAAATGTTTTGGAGTCCTCTCCATTTCTGTTTCTACATCGACAAAATAATTTTTGGTAATGGAGCGCTTACTTCTTCTGGTATTTGTTAACTGATAATATTCATTTGTAAAGTGGCTAAAAATTACGTGAGTGCTTTCAGTGGAGCAACTAGCTTCAGTAATGTTAAAATATCTGAAAATGTATTTATTACAGCAGTGCTTCTTTAACCGAGTTGTGAAGCATTTTCTGAGCAATCTTTCTACGTTTTGTTCAAGGAAAATGTCTGAAAAATACTCGTGTAGATGTTGGTGACTGTTTAATAAAATGAAACTTACTCCAAATACAAGCCGACAGTGCTAGTATACAAACAAAAACAGCAAGAATAATTATAGCCTTTCTAATCCTAGTTTTCTTTTTAGTTTTCACTGGGAATATTAATTTTGTGTCTAAAATAAGAAACTGTAATTAGTTGATGCTTATTTATGTATAAACCATGTTGTTGCATTATTCTACTAGAAAGGACTCCCTAAGGATGAGGTTATGTAATGAAACGTGTAGGTATGTTCACGGCTTGTATAATTTAATGATTTCTCAAAGACTTATCAAATTAATCCAAACAAAAAGCCTTTAAGAGCCAATTCCGACCACAAAAGGCGCGTAGGTGTAAGAAAACAATGCCATTTTGTTTTCTTTACGGCGTATCGAGCCTTTTAGGTTTTTAATTTATTACTTGTCAGCATTGTTTTTACAAAATAATGCTTGCAATATAAATCAATTTGACTCTCGTTATTACTGTTTGTTTGAAGATATTATTACTAAATTAAAAAATAATAGTGGCTAGAACCATAATTGCTCTTCGAATTAATGATTATTAATCCCAAGTCATTTAATATAACGGCACTAAATGGGTCGAAGCAATTAGCTCATTGCTACTAACGTGGGCAAAACAACTGTTTAATGTACTTAATAGATAATCACCTTGTTCTTTAATTTTCGATTTTCCTAAATCTACTTCCACCATATTTTTCGGTTCTTTGAACACAGACTGTTGTTTACCTTTAGTTTTCGTCATTATTAAATTAATTTACTAAAAATATTATTTAGATACACAACACACCTGATACACTGCACATGATGTTAACTACTTAATGAAATAAGTCAATTAATTAGAACGTCGTTGTTTAAATTTTTATACGTAATCACTTTTTGTTGTAAATGTAACTGTTTATATAAAACTATGTCGTTTGACGACCGAATTATGAAAAAATGCCAGTCAAGCAGAATTCTTATTGAACATACTTGTAAACACTTCGTAGACCAATGGACACAGTATATAATTCTATTTTAGTTTCCTTTTTAATGAGTAAAGTAATAGAATCATTCCTAATATCAAAAAGTGATTGTTCTTCTCAGTTATCCAAGTCTGTTTAACGACTTTTATATCTTACTTAGAAAGGAATTATAAAAATTAATAGTAGTAGTAACATGTTGAAACGTTTATAGATGGTATTACCGAGGAGTTGGAAATAAAATTTTCCTTTTTATTTTGATAAAGAAGGTTCCAAGTGTTTGATTAATTATATCAAAAAGTATGAAGACCAAATTTCAATTAAAATTGACCATCGACCCCTTTAAACTAGCTGTAACGTTTGTCCATTGATAGCACCAAGTCTATAAATATTTCAAAACCTAAAGAGTCGCGAAATGTGTGTGTGTAGCAGATTTTTTTTGCATTCTTATTGTACCTACATTATGTAGTAATATGAAAATTAATTTTTTCAATTTTTTACTCACTATAAACTACATCAGGTTAATGAGGGAAAATTTGTTACTGTTGTCACACCCTCACAAATTTTCCCTTATTAACCTGAAGTAGTTTATAGTGAGTATAGAATTGAAAAAATTAATTTTCAAATTAACCACTATCAAAAATGTCAAGTGTTACATATGTATAGGTCGAAATGTATTAGAAATCAATGAATCTCAGATTTTTATCACTACATAACCCAAGGACATGTCCCATGAAATTCAGAATTATCTCTACAAGTCCTTTCGGAGGACCTAATGAAAAGAAAATTATGTTTTTAATTGTTCTGTCTGATTTTTGGAGTGGAAGATTTTTACTGCTTGGAATTTTCCCATTTGCAACGCTTCTAATCCCTGCTAATTGTCCGAATTTGTCAAATGAGTGGAGCCGGAAGTTCAATAATTCAAATGCTTAAAGTCACATTTGTTTCCCGGAGTGATTGCGGTGAGGTCAGTTAAAGTGTCGACAACAGTGTCCACGGTCGGGATTAGTAGTAGGACCTTCGATTTTAATTAAGATCCGGCGGCGTCGGTCGCATGCTCCGGTTAGAGTCCGGCCGGAATCGCAGCCACGCAATTAATCTCGCTCAATCCCGAGCTATTTGGCGGGATTTCGGAGGTTGGCTCTCGGTCACCAGGACCAGACGCGAGCAAGTTAACCTCTAACAATCCGGAAGTAATTGAAGTTGTCGGAATTTCGACACTTTCCCTGTTCCACGCTCCTTCTTCTATCTGGTTGCTACTCTCTTCGAACAAAATAAATAGAGTAGTATCTTTGTTTTTTTTTTAAGATAAATCGCAAAGGGTGAAGTCCCAAAAGGACTTTTTTTAGTCAAACAGTAAAATCTAGAGCTTTAATTAGTATTTTCCCTACATATGTGAAAATAAAGTTATTGTTAACTGGGTTTTACCAGCGGCTTCGCTCGCATTGATGTACATGTCAAAGATCATTGACGACCGCTTGACACTAATTTTTCTATCCCTCGGGAGCACTATTGTACCCTATGTCCTTGTCTGTACCCCTGGCAATGTGTCTACAAAATTTTATGATAATCGGTTGGGTAGTTAAGGAGTGAAAGGGTAGCAAACAAACCAACAAACAAACTCATATTCACATTTATAACATTATGTAGTTAGGATTATAGAACAAACAGAATAGCTCAAAATCCCAACGCCAAAACACGACACTGTAGTTATCCGAAGATTATTAATATTAATATTATGTTCATCAGTAAGAATATGTTGGGCAACACTAGATTTTTCTTCTCTACCAAACCGTGCATGAGCTAGATGTTCCTTAAATCTAGTTTTGATTGAGCGTCTAGTTTGTCCAATATATTTTTTACTACAGTCATTACAACTAATTTCATATATCCCCGACTTTTCTAAGAATGGAATTTTATCCTTAGGGTTACCAAGGAGAGTTTGAATGGAGTTGCCATTTGAACTGTAAGCAATCCGTAAACCAAGTTTTCGAAAAATACCCTCGAGTCCGCGAGTAAATCTTGGCTCGTATGGCATAGTAATAAACTTGGTTTTATTAGCATCTGTTTGAAAAGTCGTAGATCTTGAAATAAAATTCCTAAATTTTATCTTATTAATTAATTTATCAATAATGTTACAATTGTAACCATTGTCTTTTGCAATTTTCTTAATTGTACAGAGTTCCTTATTATATCTATTTTTACTAAGAGGGAAGCTAAGTAATCTGTGTACAAGGAAGTTAAAACTAGCCATTTTATGTTGAACACAATGATTAGAGTCGTTGGGTATATATCTAGAGGTATTAGTGGGTTTTCTGTAGATGTCGAATTCTAAAGAATTCCCATTTCTTATAACCAACGTATCTAAAAATGGTAATTTGCCATCTTTTTCCATTTCTACTGTAAATTTAACCGAAGGGAAACGTGAATTTAAAACATCAAGAAAGTCTTGAAGACTTCTGGAACTTAAATNAAAATACTTCATAGAATATGGAAAACAAAATGGAATGCATGTTTTTGTCGGTCCTGCAAAATGATTCCCGCCGTTTGTTTCGTTTTTTTGTTGTTATTGTTATTATTATTTTTAATATAAAAAAAGCGCATGGAAAAAATCAGCAATTCATTTAATTTCGGAATAGGTACACGTTGTGATTGAGCCGACATGAAAATTATGTCGACAGTTGGAAATAAAATGTAAAATGCCGTTTCAGTGATTTTTGCGAATGACATTCCATTACTTCATTATTTATGTCAGCGAAAACGGATAAAGTGCCGGTCGGCAGCAGAAATCAATTGACAGGTTATTAAAATCTAATGTAAATTCTTTTATTGAAAACATGTCGCCCGTATTGACAATTTCATTTTATTGTTATTTAAATCAAAAAGCAATTTACGCTCTTTTGCCGGTGCCGCCATCTCACTTTTGTTAAGCACATGTACACGTGTATATGTATACCTCTATGTATATACTCTACCGTTCAAAAGTTTAGGAGCTGCAGGACATTAAAAATTATTTTCGAAACGTCAAAAGAAACCATTCTTGTTTTTAAAACTGTTAATAAATGGATAGTTGTCTAAAGGTCTTCTACTGCATATTAAAATTTAGTTTGGTAAATAATGTTAATTTATTTTCACTTTTGTTTTGCTTCCCGACTAGAATTTATAAGGGGCATGCCCCGTCCTAGCGTGCGGGCCTCATGTGACTAATGTGTGGCATGCCGATATAGGGATTTCCCCGTAGATTCCTCATGAAAATACCACCAAAGAAGTGGTGATACAAAGTGAGGGTTTATGGGGTTTTCATGTGGGTCTTAAGGGCCAACCGAACACATGTATAAACTTATAGTTAAATCTGCCTTATTGTAGAAAACTAAAAGAAAATCTCTGCGATGCTAAATATTTTAGAAATGCACCTATAGTTTCTGCAAACAATGAAATTATAACTACCTGTAAAATCATCATAGATGTTGATTAAAAAATTATTTAGTGACGAAAGTAAAAAAATAGTATATGTTATACTGTTGCTACATATGTAAAAGTGAACAGTTTCTCATTGGTAAAATATATTTCTCATTCAATTTTGTATTTTTTCGTTAATAATAAAGTTCAATTTTCCAAAAATTTATATTGGAGTAACAATAATTTTTCTCTGTGGCCCCCACATGAGGCATTCCATTCCACATGGGTGGGTGGGTGGTCCACAAGGATTAGTGTACTACCCACATAGGGATCCTACCTGCAGCCCCTAAAAATTCTAGTCGGGTTAATATGCTCGAAATGGTTCTAAACTTTTA